CCCCAAAACCCCAAAACCCCAAAACCCCAAAACCCCAAAACCCCAAAACCCCTGGTTTACAAATGATTATTGAAGGATATTCCATAAAAAGGTCATCGGGATCATCAAAAGGAAGGATTTTATTTTAATTCGTTGAAATTTAAGCATTTCAAAAGCAGTATTCTGTGTGAGAACATTAAGCATATTTTCTGTATCCTTTAATTTAAAAACAAAAAATGCATCTTCTTTAAGAATCCTAACCAAATCCACAAATATCTACATAAACCACTCAAAACAACATCAAAATTTTCAAAGAACAATATTCTACCATATCTCCTTTTACCCACACCCTCTTCTTGCCATCTCCCAACCCCTCTTTCTCAACCTAGGCTACAACCTTCTTACTAAAAACTTTCATTCATTACAGTTCCAGTTGGAGACCCGATTTTTGACCTTCTGCTTCTTCTCTCACTCGTTTGGCCTCTAAAGCTTTCGTTCTGATCAACTGGAGCGTATGGAGCGTTCCTTTGGTTATTGGAGGTAGGATAGTTACTTTCGGAAAGAGAGGATTCTTCTGACTCTGAATTGACTGAATCTGAGGAGAGAGGCATGCTGTGTTGTACTCTTCTGGAGCCAGTTCCCCTTCCTCTAGAGTAGCCTGAATCTCTACTCCATCTCTTACTTTTGAAAGACTTTTTAGAAATTGGTATTCCAGCACCTGTCTTCTCAGGATTTACTTCTTGTGAATATCTTCTTGACTGGCCACTGAGTACAGAGTGAACAGCTTGATATTGAGAACCTTCAGAGCGGATTAATTCTGTACCAGAATAAGAACCTCTTCTATCACTGTTATTGCTAGATCTGTAGTTGTTGACATATATTTCACGCTGATTAGGGTCTTGTGTTCTAAATGGAATATCATCTTGATTCTTTCCGACTGGAACTCCAACTGTAACTCCTCCAAACCTTCCTCTAGAGTCGTCTCTGATGCTATTTCTTTTGGGTTTAGTCACGTTCATAATCTTAGGTTCTTCAACCTGAGGTTTCTTGGGGGTTCAGATTCCACAGCCCATTATTAATATTACTCCAAGTTCATTCAAAAACTCTCCTCTTCTTAGGGGTTTTGGGGTTTTGGGGTTTTGGGGTTTTGGGG